CACACTAGTTATTATAACAACTATGAACAATAATGAACAACTAATGAGCCTTCCAGCATCAAGCCCTCCTCGTATCTGGACCTCCGTCTGGACAATCCAACAGCCTCGATATCCGACATAGAAGAAGGTTTTACATTTAGTGTCGGGTTATTGAGTCACGGCTGTATATACATATAGTTTTTTACCCTGACTGCAACTTTGTGAACTGCAACCTCTGAAGGAGGTCAGACTTCAGCAAAGAGTTCGGAGATGCAGATGTGTTTGTTCTACAGGAGACCTGGGATATGATAAGGTAGATAAGGTCCCATCCACCAAACTAAAAGGACACACCCAGGGAAAAGATTTAAGAGGAACTGCTATAGCTCTGCACAACACTGGTTCTGTGGATCCTAGACTCAGTAGAACCCTAGATCTGTCAATTGTAAACAGCGAGGCCTTCACCAGCATCAGTAAATCTTCTCACTGTTCCTCTAACTCACCCTGAAGGAGATCTCCAGGTTCTCTCCACCCCAGATGTCCATGCCAGCGTCGTACTGGCCGAGCTCATTAAAATACTTCCTGTTCATAGCGAAGAGCCCGCCTGCCATCGTAGGAGACCTGAGGGGGGAGCACCAGAGGTCAACTGATCACTTAGTCACATGACGGGTCGGTCAGCTGGTCACATGACGGGTCGGTCAGCTGGTTACCTGATGGGTCTTGTGGCGCCCTCCGGCCCATTGACCTCAGCAGGGGGGACGGGGTCCCACTTGAAGTGCAGCCCCCAGTTGAAGCCGCCCCTGACGATGGGGGAGGGTGAATAGGCGAGCGTGTCGGCGGAGATGATGTCGATGACGGGGCAGACGACCGTGCGGCGGTCCTTCTGGATGGGGGCCAGCAGAGGCTGCAGCCACGCCTGGTTCACCTCGCAGTGACTGTCGAGGAAGACGAGCACCTCACCTGGACACACAGACAGGTGAATCCTCCTGTACTTTGAAGGTGGCATGCAGGCAGTAAGGATGTGAGGATTTATGAAAGCACAATGTGGTCTTGTTTCAGGATATATTTGTGTAGAGCCAGTATACAAGAAATAAAGGTGACTAAATAAAGAAAAAATGCAAGGAGACAAACAAAGGATGGAGGACGTACCTGTAGCATGTGAGGCTCCTATCATGCGTCCTCTGATGAGTCCTTCCCTCTTCTGGTTCCTCACCAGTTTGACCTTCCTCTGCAGCTCCTCCTTGACATACTGGTCCAACTTGTCTTTCAGCTCCTCTGGACCAACAGACAGACATGGAATTACTGTCCTGAGCATGTCCGTTCACAGGTAACGTCAGACTGACACTGACTATCTATATCATGTTAGCATCACCTACAAACACTGAACAAATCAAATGACAGTATTCAGCTCATCCTTCCCTGGGCGTTACCGAGCTCACTGTGGTCATCCACCAGGATGATCTCGTGCAGCAAGTAGGCCGGCGTTCGGTCCAGCACGCTGTGGACGGTTCTCAGCAGAGCAGAGAAGGCCTCATTGAAGAAACAGATCACGACGCTGGCAGAAGGTAGAGCTGTAGGATACGACTTATCCCGACACCTGAGACAGATTTACTATCAGCAAAGAGGCGGTTTCGTTTTACACACAGAGAACCAAGATCTCGCATTACTGGCGGGTCGGGTCACATGACATCACGGCAAGTTGGCACTACACATGAACTATGCAAGAACGTGTATGTGAATATACAGTCTACAGCTGTGCAATATCACTTTAATGGCTCTAAACTGCATCCCCTCACAGTAATCAGATTACCTCTGAGTAGAACAGCAGAGTACTGTCTCTGATATCAGATAACAACTACCAGCTCACATCCATAGATTAAATTCAGGGTCCACAGCAGGAACTAAATTGCAGTGAGTCCATCTGCGGTGCCGCTGTAGCTGACCTGGTTGAGCTGCCGTCCCATCTACAGGGGCTCTAGTCCCCGACGCAGTGGTCGTGGGTTTAAGTCCTGCTCATGATGTTTTGCTGCAGGTCCTTCCCCCATTCTTCTCCCCCACGGCCCCATCTCTCTCTCTGTCCTATCTGGTAAAGCTAAAAGGCCAAAACAATATCTTCAAAGTGAGTCCATCTTTCATTCCTGAGCTTCTCTGGTTCCTTCAGACTCAGTCCTCCTCAGCATGGAGGAGACCAGAGTCCACTCAGTTCTTCACTCTGCTTCATCCAGCTGCTCTTTGCTGGAGGGGTTCTGCTGCTCTACGTGGAGCTGTGATGCAGACATAGACAGACACAGTCCATAGGTCCAGAACTGGTTCTGCTGTTCTCAGCTCCTTGTAGAACCATGTTCATGCAGGTAAATGGAAACCACAGCTGGACTCACTTTGGTTCTTTGAGTTTCTACTCTGAAGCCAGAATTTTAAACATAGTGGGTTTTTTAAGGGTTTCTTTTATCGTTTATGAGAGGACATACTCTGCTCTCCCTACAAGTAATGTGATTACTGTGAGCTGATGCCGTTTAGCATCATGTGACAGGTGATGTTTAACGGGCGTGTCCTCGTTGCTGATTGCATTTTATTGCTCTTTAGTGAAAATGCTTATCGACTTTGAACTGCTTCCAAGGAGACGCCATGTGGCAGCTGTCACACACGTCCAATCCTTAAGTAGCGGCCAATGAGCAGCCATCGCCAGTCGGGTCAGCCCTGACATGTCTGGTTCAGTATCAGCTGGTTCTTACTGGGAGTCTCTGGTATCAGGCAGCTCTCTGTGGTAGCCCAGCCTGGTGGAGATGAGGACGTTGAAAGCGTGTCGATGATAGCCGGTGTCCCGGACCTCCTGATCCGCCTCATTGAATATCATCCCTGTGGACAGACGGTCAGCAGCACTCAGACCACATACAGGGCAGCAACATTCACAGCAGCGGAACATGTGGTTCCCGTTGCCCCGCTTCCGTTTGAAATCATTTCATTCTCAAGGACTCACAGCAAGGCCAGGGGCCTCCCCGGACCTACAGGACCTACAGGGACCCCGTACCCACAGGACCTACAGGGACCCCGGATCCACAGGACCTACAGGGACCCCGGATCCACAGGACCTACAGGATCTACAGGGACCCCGGACCTGCAGGGACCCCAGACCTACAGGACCTACAGGACCTACAGGGACTCTGGACCTACAGGGACCCTGGACCTACAGGACCTACAAGGACCCCGGACATACACCTAAAGTGTGGCGTGATGGCAATAAAGCACAACAGTTTGTTCACAACAGCAACATCGGTCTGTGACTTGTTCTACTTTCCAAAATGAGATTCCAGGTGAAGGGTCTCTGTTTGGACCTCAGGGAGAGTTAAACGCAAACACCTGGACACATGTCAAAACAAGACACGTGGAGCTCTGGTGTCATGATTTACTGTCCAACATCTTCTCAGAACTAGAACCTCGCATTCACTCATCGACTGACGACGATGATCATTATTCTCCTAAACACACCACAGCCACTCACCCATCTCCGGGGACAGCTCTGCTCCCTTATTGGCCGGCAGAGGACGATGCCCCACCCCGCGATCAGCCAGGTCCCTGGTGATTGGCTGGCTGCGATGCTGCAGGGGGGTCCTGCGGCCAGGCTCCGCCCCCAAAGAGAAGTAGAGGAAGAGGAGGATGGACCAGGTGGCCGAGGTGACGAGGCAGCCATAACAGAAGTACCGCAGCGTGACACTGGCCATGGTGGCCGAGCGAGCATCGCCTTACATCACCTGCTGAGAGAGAGAGAGAACGACTGGCCCTTAACCCTGGAAGTCACGCTTCAATGAACAAACGTCCATCACCAGAACACGTCGTCTTGTTGCAGATTCTGTACTGCCTCCGTTGACCTGGACTATCTGAACTAAAATCAGAACCTGTGTGCTCTGTTGACTGTGTGATCAAACCAAAGATCTGAGCAGAGAACAAACCAACACGTTGGTATCATGATGTGGATCTACAGGGCAAACAGTGTGGAGCTCATTTCTATTCAATTCAATTCAGTTTTATTTGTATAGCGCATATTTACAACAACAGTCATCTCATGGCGCTGAACAAAGGCAGAAACACCCAACAATCCAAACATCTGGATTCTCTATAAGCTTCAGCAGTCTGCTGGTGGGACGGAACCGAAAACCCCCACAGGGGAAAAAAACCTCCGACAGAACCAGGCTCAGGGAGGGACGGCCATCTGCCTCCACCGGTTGGGTGGATGTAGGATGAATTATAACATTTAGTTTACAGTTAAACAAGTTATTAGAAGTGATTGTCCTTTATTTCTCAGCTCTGCCTGCACTTTATTGGTTCTCTTTTCTTCAGATCACTCTTCGTGCTCCTTCCTGTATCAGGGTGAGTTTCCCCATTGGTGGAGAAAAATAAAGTGCAATCTAATCTAATCTCATCGAGACTGACTGACTGAGCCTCTCCCACCTGCGGGGGGCGCCGTCGGCAGATTCAAATGCAGCCCTCTTCTTCTGCAGACTATAATGTCAAATCAATAACCAATGAGAACTGGAAACATGTGACTGCAGCTGATGTCAGCAAACTGCTGAGGACAGGCGTCAGGTGTGTCAGTCACCTGGTCAATCATTGTCTTCAGTCCACAGCGACAACATGCTGAACGAGCAGGTCGACGTCCACATTCCAGGGTCTGCTCACCAACCACACTGTTGGAGGGTGTGACGTTTTCCCCACCTGTCCTCACCTGAACACTGCAAGCAGCTGCAGCAGAGTGAAGCGACCTCCATCAGCCCTGTACCTCCATCA